CCGCTCATTACCATTGTAATACAGCCATCGTTAAATAATGACGCCTTGAACTTTCCAGTCCAGCTCTTTTTCCTTCCCAAAAAGAGAAATAAAAGCCAACAGGGACGTTTGGGTCATAACGGCCCGGAAATACTCCATCCCTGGAGCATTTTCGCTCCCCCTTTCTGGGCCAGAAAACCTTTGGAAATTTGTTTAATATGTAAATAGCACCTATAATTTACATAAGTTCCTCGCTGATTTTTTTCTCTCGTGCGTTGTCTGGCTTCTTTACACTCCACTAATCAGGAGGATCCTCTCGATGCGGCTTTGTCCTTTCCTATTCAACTACACTATTTAATTGCTTAAAAATGTTAATTCTTTCCTCCAATTTTAGCATCTTAAAACATAAGTACAACCATTGATTAACGTATTATACCTGATGATAGCCAACCATATACCGGCATCCAAAAAGGGATTTGAAGGGTACTATGCGCGGGTACCGAAAAGGAAGAGAACAGCAAAATACATCGCACGCCCATGCTTTCAATATGGCTGGATACCCGCGCACTGACTTTGTCAATTCAAAGAGATGCCGCGCTGGTATATACCCAATTAAAATGGGTATTAGAGAGGCAAAAATGGAGTGAAGATCCTAGCTCTATCTATGAGACTTAAGCAGAACCAAACACTTTACTTTACAAAGTAGATTTCTAAATTCAGATCTGTCTTCTGCTACTGTCTCATAGATTACCCTAGTATCTGTCAGATCTTATTATAATTATGTACTATAGCCATTGCAACGGAAATTCTTTCAGGTTATGAGCATGTCAGCATATCTCTGTTAGTGTCGTCATGAATGTAAAACGTAAACAACCCCAGTTTAGATTTCTATATACACAGATAGTTTTCACCTCTAAAATACATTCTGGAATCAAAACCCAGTCATTGGACTGATCTCATTCAGCGTTGTGCGCATCGTCAATATTTAGATTGGCAGGGTCATTAGCCGTCAGTCGTAACAGGTCATATACATGCTTTCTTAATACTACTTTTTAATTTGATTTGTGCTTATATTAGGCAAGTAGAAATTGGCAAAATAGCAGGTCGTTAGCTGCATATTACGATATGACAACATTTTATTCGTCAGTGGGATTTCAAGTGACATGTAGTTGAATTAGACAAAGTTTTCTTACAGTTGACGGAATATTTTCTTGTATCTTAGAACAAAATGAACAATTTCCTTATTTTTTCACGCTCAACCATTGCCAGTTCACCAATGTTTTGACATTTGTGGGTAAACCTTACCTGACTTATGTAATGATATACACTATTTAAGCCTTTACATTCATTGCATACGTATCGTTTTCTACGCATTGTTCACATCGAAAAGTAGACAGTTAAAGTATACGTCTAAACGCCCTTCGTGGATAACCCTGGTTCGCTTAAATGAATGGACTGAATCGTTGATCGTGACCGTGTGAACAGTCCACTACTCTGGCAGGTACACATTTCGCTCTTCAGCCAAGAGCTACGAAAGTAAAATTGAAAGCGTCCCAGGCTGTCGTCTTCCTTGCTGAACATACTACTACCGATAAATTGTTTCGTCTCTGTAACGCACAAAGTAGACTGTCAAATTGCTTCGTGTGCTCTACATATACCTGAGAAATCAACCACTTCCATGTGTTCCAACATTTTTTATAATGATTGCTTGTGAAGTCTTAGTATGAGCGGTAATCATTGTACAATATATCGATATAGATGGAAAACTCGGTAATCATTGTACAATATATCGATATAGATGGAAAACTTCTATGAACGCTTACACTCAACTACTGAAATTGCTATTGTCAACCCCCGGATAAAGAAAAGCAAGTAAATGATTAAGGAGCTCGCATGAACCAGTGCACTGTTATCGGTGATTTATCCAACTTTCTATTAGACCTTGGAGGATTCGTGATGGTCTTGTTGCTTTCTCGTAATTGAGTGTATCTCCCTTTTGTAGACGAACCGGGACCAATATTTGCCTTAAATTTAGCCAATCGCCGGCGATAAACGAAAAGATTAGGAAGAGAGAACAGGAGATGTGTGATGCATTTGTAGCGTTCCTAGGGTGACTTTGCCCTTTGATGGGGGCACGTAAAGATGCGTTTGATATCCATACAGTTGTTCGTTCGTCTGCTTTCGGTACATTTTATGGTTTAATGATATGACGAATATCTTTGCAGTCTGAACGAGTAGCAAGAACCGCCTAACCGAATAGAATGTACAAATACAATATATATCTTTTTATTTTAAGAAGTGACTAAAGTTGCTTTTACAGGCTGTTAAAAAGTACCTTGCTAAATTTTGAAGGATGAAGCCATGCACAATAGTTCATAAAAAGTAGGCCCGGTATTGGATCGATTTTAAGATACAAAGTATGAGTATCTTTCCGAAAAATACCTTTCGAAAAAACCATAATTAATAACTCTTGAACCGGCTTTAGTAAAATACGTTTTAGGTCAGCGGATATCGTCGGAAGAACTGAACTCAACTATGGAAATCACATTATTAAAACCACAAATAGTCACGGTCATTTATATCGCCCGGATTTTAAACTATTCAATTCAGGCATTTTACATATTCAATTTTATTTTCCATTGTTTCGGGTTTCTAAGAAAAAAATCAATATTTCAAGACAAACATTTCGATCCCGTGACTTGGATAAAAACATCTGACATTGCTTATAAAAAGTTGTCGCCTAAAAATTGCTCAACGAATCATCCATTGAAGTTTATCTAGCAGATTCTTTATTTATATATTGATGTTTGTAATAACAGTATTGTTTGAAGTCAGTACTACCAGTAGAGCGTATCTCAGAAAGATGATACTTGATGACCGTTTTAGCGTTTATTTCACTTGTAGAAGGAATGCAACTGTTCCTGGTGATCTTATTTATTTAAGCTCCTCGGCAGTGGAATATCTGTCATAGTTAACGGGTTCTCCTCTTTACCCTACAATGTCAACGCGGGTGGTCCCCAGGGATCGGTGTTGGCCCCAGCATCGTTTATATTATATATCAACAATCTTATCTCCTGGTATAATTTAGTGCCTGCAAAACACATTACAATATTTTGGCTAACAAAGTATCTATCTAGGTTTCTGCCTAGGCAGCTATGTGGGAATACAAAATAGAAGGCTAACCCCTACGAAGCATCATCTAGAAACTAAAACGCAGTCATGAGACCATCACCAATCAGCAGACTGGAGCATCTTAGCCCTTACCGTCCGCCTCCACCCCCGAACTTCCTTTCCCACTACCCGTCTCCTTCTCACAGCCACCACGGCACGTCGGTTTCGACGGACTTTGGTAACGTTAATTAAACTAAATTAAAAGAAGTCACTGCTGCCTGAGAGGTACCGGCGGTAACTGGCGAGATGCATGGCTAATCTTTGGACAAATTAATTGCCTTCAGCATAAGTAATGCACTTCGGATTAGTCGAAGTGCTCTTCTTGGTAACGCAGAGGCGTTTTCGTAAAGGGATATCATTTACAAAGGAGAACCTGACAGTCTTTGACATACGAAAATATTTTACGACGACCGACGAAAGGGTGACCACAAAAAAGCTGTTTTTCGTCTGTTTTTGCGCATTAGATTCCGACGTTGAGAATAAACCTAAGCAGGTTCCCCATACCTCAAATTAACTTTTATGAAAAATCAAAAGAGGATTTACTTTTTGTTTTTTGGAGATATTAAAAAATTACTTCTGTTTAGGGGTTGAAATCACACTCTAATGACTTTGCATTTCGACTCATTTTCAGAATTTGAAGTTGTCCCTTATTTCCGGGATTATTTCGCATAAATTGATTTGGATAAAAAACTAAGTTTGGTAGTCCAGACCTACCCCTAAGTACCTCGATAAGGGTGGAAAAACCGGTAAAAACAGCAAAAAAGCCGTAACTTTTGAACATTATTCTGCGTTACACTGTTTTCACTATTTTTATCTAGCTTCTTGTCAAAATTTCGTCATCCTGAGATGACCGAATATCCACATTTGTTTCTTAGAAACCAATATTGCACTTGATTCGACATGATACTTCAGTTTCAGATATAAGGCAATTTTTCATTTCTCAGGCCACTGACGAGAAAGTATTATAATGCGAAATGAGATCATTTTTGTCACCCATTTCATTCGGTCTGTCTGTATGCCTGCTAATCCTTGGCCTCGTTAAGGTTATTGCTATCGGTCCAGTGGCGGTGCAGCTTGAGGCAAAATACGAACAAAAATTGAATCGCTTAAACTTCGTGCGCTGGTGTTCTAGTGGCTCCTGATAATTATCAAAAAAATTTTTTTGCAGAGGTTGAAAAGGGTGTAGAGATTGTAAATGGTGTATCATTGATATCAATGGAAGACGTTTTATTATTCAGACATGCGTGATCCAGTATTACACACCTGCTAGGAACAACATCACACATAAAGTTATGTCACATACAATTTACGATTGTGACTAATCAGCACCAGGTATACAGGAATAACGAGATATCCTTTACCTGCGCACTATGTAAAGTTAGTACTAATTATTTACAAAATCATTCAGCAATTCAATTATATTCTATCAGCAACTGCAAAGGCTTCCATGACCGGCGAATAGTAAAGATGCCAGAACGTACGGAAGTTCATACTAAAAGTCCATTATTTCAATTTTTTGAATGAACAATACCGTTTTTCACTGATATTTATTCAACTCCACGATCTTGTTTCAAGATACAAAGATTTTCATAGGCATCAAATAATAAAGATGTGCAAAAGTTGACTTAAGGTCCTTTTGTCCAGAATTGTGTGGAAAGTACAAAATCAATCTGCTTGGCATTTGAGCCGCATTCATAAAAAAGAAGCATATCCTCGGAAGCGTAAGATAAAAGCGTAAGGTCTTGCTTCGCTGAAAAAGGTAGAAGTGTAAGCATATCCTTGTTTTCATATTCATACTGATTACCTTATACTCGCGAGGATATCCTCCAAGAAGAAGTAAAAGGTTGAGTGGTATTTGTATCTTCAGCGACATGTCCTGACTTGTTCCAGCTTGTGGTTGACGTGGGAGTTCGTTCACTCAGCATCACTGACAGTTGTACTCCAGAGCTTACATAGGCCGTTCCGTATTTTTACTGGATACAGTTTTTTATAAAATTAATAAGCATGTCATCCTCAAGTGATGAGGAAACTATAGGAAATAATGGCAGCGACCTGCAGTTCATCGCAGATGAAATTGCCATTCCTCCAGTTATTTTGAAAAAGTCACAAGTTCCAAAAATAAAAATGAGAAAGGTCGATGCCTTGAAGATGTTGAAAAAATACGAATCAACATTCGGTAAACCATTAGATACTAAAGGCTTATTAAAAAAGATTAACAACATGAAATCAAGATTGAAGAAAAAACAGATCTAAAAAAAAACTGGTAATAAAGCAATTAAATTGTTAGATTGGGAAAGAAAGTTGCTGAAAGCTATGGAAGGTAACCCTACCATTGGGAAAATTACGAGGTGCCATTCAGGTTGGTAGTGTTCAAGAAGAACGAAGTGAACTATATACCGAGCGCAGTGAGCAAACAGTTAGTATTACAGCGCCAGCAATTCAGAAGACATTGCCACCAAACAGAAAATTAGCAACAGAGAAATACGAAACTGAGGAAACTAAAGGGTTAACTACAAAAGAACTGCAATGTCAGGTGCTATCACAGCAGTACCAAACAAGTATTTTGCAACAAGAGTATAAAACGAAATTAGAAATGATGCAGCGTCAGGCGCCACCTGTAAGTTATGATGTTCACGAAAATAAAACTTATTATCACTTATAAATACACTTTAATCAGTAAAACTATTTATTATAATACTCAAGCGTCTTCTTATTTGTTGATCTAGTTGGCGTACATAATTTTTGTTGATATGCGTTGACCAACCAGTGGTCGGTCAAAAATGCAACTGTTTCATAGTTCTTTGTTGCTTGAATTACGTGCATATGGCAGCGTTAGAATCTGGAAGAACCCTCATCCTACTCTGCAGACAGTCTCGCCCACTATTCTACATTTCTCTTATCTTACTTTGCTGCCTAATCGATACAACCCAGTGACAGATTGCATTAAAATAATATTTATCTTGTGTACCAGTATACCTACATAGTCTCACAACCTTTCACAACCCCTGACTTACTCACCTTTTCCGCTGCAAGGTATACATCCCATTCGGTCTTGTAAAATTGATGGTAATAAGTACCGCATTCCCCTAGATTGCCTGAAGACTCACCTGCAACAAAGAGACAACGGTTAATCGAATGACGTCACATCAAACGACAGCAGCGCCCCTGGAGAAGAGCGAATTACGTCTGCCACTCCATCGCCATAATGAAGGCAAAGAGAGCGAAAAAATTACGTGAGAAAATTGCAAATGCTTTTACTTGCCGCTTGCCGCCGTGCACCGCGCATCGCTCGCGCAGGGTTAATAGAGAGCTAAATCGGCGAAAAATGAGCGGTAATGCGGAGATGTAGTGACGAAGTGGAGGGAAAGCAAAAATAAAAATAATAGGAAGATCCATTTCTTGTTAAATTCGAACAATTTTATGCGCGAGCAAAACGAAAATATTTTACTCAGATTCAGGTAAAACTGAAACCAGATTTAAAAATACTAATCTTCCACTTCCCACAAACTAGCAAGAAAGTTTTGTAATCGCGAAAAGAATAGAAATTAAGATACTATGTTAATTGAATGTTATATGACATGTAGATTTTGAAAATTGGTCCATCTCAACAAGATGGCGTTTTCATTTCGGGGTTCCTTCTTTCAATTTCCTTCTCCAACTTTGTTTTTTCATTTGGACGCTATATTGGAATTTTGTACCTTCAAGTGAATTTTTCGATCCTAAATTCAAAGATGTTTTTCCCTAATTGGTCATAAATTTGTTGTTGGAGTGAATATTATAAGGACATAAAAAGGTATGGTGTAGCCTGAACACAAAACGCAAATTTTGTGGAAGGTAATAACAATAATCACACATAAGCAGTAAATCGTAGCAAATGTTCATAACGTTCTCCGTTATTTTGTAGGCAAAGACTGACTCTTCTCTATATATTTCGTTCTGCTGCCTGTGCCAAAAATTGATTATACCTTTTTATTTCCTTATAATTTTCGTTCGCACATCACATCAAATTAATGGCCAACTAAGGAAATAAATCACTGAATTTATGTCCCAAAAATCCATTTAAAAGTACAAAATTCCAATATAGCGTCCATATGAAAAAACAAAGTTGGTGATGAAAGTTGAACGCGGATACTTTGAATTGAAAATTTGATCACGCCATCTTGTAGTGGAGAAAAAGTGGCAATAATAACATGCATTTTGAAATCTCATCTCGAATATAGTCAGAAAAAAATAAAAATGATTTGGCGATAAATCTGCCAATGTCTAGTTGATAATTACAAAGTCTACATAGGAAATTCTATATTATGAAATGACCAAGGTCTGGCAGTGTCAGGGTATGACTTATTTTTGGAATTAGATTTAAAAACTCTATTCACATGTGCAAAAATACAATATGGCGTCCATGAGAAAATTAGAGTTGATGTTGGAGAGCAAGAGTCGAAAGTCTACCATCTTATAGAGGAGAACAAGTGGCATTGTTAATGTGTAATTTATTTTGAAATCCATTACAAATGAAGTCAGGAAAAAATTAAAACGATTTTGGAAAAATTCCGTCTCCGGAAGTACTTTGAATTTCGAAACGTTCTAAGCGGCTTTTTGTTAGTGTCTTACCGTTTCCGAGATCCCCATGGTGAGGCTCGAATTTGAAACATTTTGCATGTTATACATCATATGTTTTCCAGTATATTTGTCAGATGGAGGATACTTTCGGAAAAACTTTTTAGATCGCAGCAATATTAAATGGTTCGCGACCAAGGACTGATTATATGGGCGGGTTTAGCTGACTTGATCCGTTACATTTTTTTGTTTTTGTTATACGTGTTCGTTGTTGCCTTTTTTTGCTAGAGGGGCAGAATATAATCCTTTATGAGCTTAGGGCAGCGTTGCGTGGTAAGTGCAGAGTCAACCTACTTGATGCCGTTTTTCATATTATTTTTTCAAGAATTTTAATGATTATTTCAACAGACGCCGACAACGAAGTATAATACTAGAGACTAGACAAGTTGCATGAAGATGCAAGTAAAAAATACAAATTTATACGCTTTCGTTCATACAGGGTGTCCTTTCAAAAATGTCATCCGAGGCTCCCCTACGGAGGTTCAGATCACTAAGGGGCGCTTCATGTAATCTATTTCTTTTAAATAACCTCTCAACAACGCTCTACAATAGGGAATTATTGAAGAGCTTATACGGTCAGACACTATTGTGGCAGGCAGTATTTTCACTCTGTTGACATATACACATGCGCAGGTTGTGTAACTATTACGGCCGCCATTAATAAAAATAGTGACTGCCTCAGATTAGGGAGGAATAAAACTCGCACAGCGAAGTCCTTATTAGACGTTGTTGACAACTTTGGCATTCCTGAACAGGTATTAATACTGCCAACCTTACTTTTTAAGTTGATGGTTGTGTTTTGGATGGTTTTGGTTATTTGATTTTGATTCTCAACTTTCCATGTGATTTTCATTTTCAAAGTTCTGGCGTCTTGCGCCAGTTGGGTACAAGTTATAGTGTAAATAAATTATTAAAAATGATGTCAGTTGTTGTCACCGAGCGACATGCGACGCTTAACGCTGCGTCTAACCATGAAATCGATAATTTTACATTATTTTAATGGCATGCACAATCGTTAAACTACTACTTGATCCTATTAATGTCTTTCCCTAATATTAGCGCAAGGATGCATTTTTGAAAATCTTGATCACTAAAAAAAATATTTTTCCTTGAAAATGGTGCAGTTCGTGGAACTCAAATATCCTAGGTTTTTTTTAGCTGACGCTCCCCAAAAATATTATCGAGCCATTATCATACAACCAAAAAACATCAGGATTGCGTTAGGACCGGCCCATTCCAGGCGTTCTAAATAATAATAATAATAATTTATTCGGCACTTTTTCATTATTATATGAGCAAGTAATGAATAAATAAAGTACCCACAGAAAAGATATTATGTATTGCCTATTCGTGGGTGGTAATTGCTAACCAACTACTAAGGAATACATGACATGTATGAAAGACAAATGAATCGATTGGTTTCCTTTCCTTTCCTGTACTTCTGAATGACACAAGAATTATAGCTATAATACTTCCATCGATTATAGTTTTGAGCAGGAATGAGAAGGCCGCTAGAACCATACCAATCAATTATATTCCACTGTGTAAATGTCTGAATGCTTGCTCAGCCGATTCGTTGTTTTGTAAGACATAATACCAAAACTTTACAGCCTCTAAATCTAACCACGGGTTTCACACTCACCAATTCAAATCTAATATTGAACGATGTTTATGATAGGTACCAGGCACGTGAAGTTATTATCCCGGAACGTAAAAATATATAAATTATAAACTTCAGCCTGTACAAGCTGCACCATTTTACGGCTGGTTTGTTTTTTACATACTAAACAAAGTTGCTGAATTACTTCATTTACCATAAATACATCAGCGGTATGATTTATTAAGGCACGTTCCTATTACTACCGGTTTGAAACACCACATATTCGAGAATTCGTTTGAATAAATTTTGTTGTTAGACACGCTAAGCGTTTGTTGATACGTGTTTTTCAGTAGGTATTTCTTGTGGGTTTCAACAATGTAAGCGTTGTTGTTGATTGAATTGAAGTAGTCAAGTAAATCGTTGCGCAAAAACTCTTCGTGCTGATATTACAAAGAGCAAATGCAAGATTTGGAGTACTACCCAAACCAGGAAAAGCATCAACATTTGTTCTTGCTACACGAAGGGTATGTTTGGTACACTGTGCTTCCGAATACCAAAATGTGTAAAGAGGTTTCATAAGTACTTGAAGTTGAACGGACACACTGAAGAGTTGAGAACCCATTCGCCTTTACGAGCATTTTCTAAATAATCTTACTGTGACTTCGATAGTGCAGCATTAAATTTCTTTGAAACATATTTTTCTGGAGGTCAGCCAGTGGTGTACTTGGAAAATCAGTACTCTAATCTTTGCATCGTTACATCTGATGTCCTAAAGGCTCAGTACTTGGGCCAATATTGTTTTTATTGTGAACAGCTGATATTCTTACGGTTATATCTCTCTCTTCTCTGAGAACTTTCGCCGATGATACTCAACTGTATCTCTTGGCCCTAAATTTACACATCAAGAGAGTACGTGAAATTCTACGGATCTTGAAGAAAATGTAGCATCTCACATTTTCTTCAAGATCCTAAGAACAATAACCTTGAATTAAATCCTAATGATTGTCATCTCATGCTGCCTTGTTCTGTCTTCATCCAGCTATCTACCCTTCTTTGAATATACAAGTTGATGGATTAGCCCTTCCAGTGGTGGATAAAGCAAATAATTTAGGAAGTAATATTTGACGATTCTTTACGTTTCAAGGAGCATGTTGCGGATATTTTAAAAAGAGGCTAAATTGTTCTAATCGCCCTTAACTAATAAACATATATTGAATATTAAAACTAGGAAACAACCTCATAATCTTACTATGACTTCAATAATGCATCATTAAATTTCTTTGAAACACATCTATCTGGACGTCAGCAAGTGATAAAATTGGAAAATCAATTCTCCAATGCTTGCCTCGTTACATCTGGTGTTCCTCAAGGCTCAGTACATGGGCCAATATTATTTTTAATGTATACAGGTGATATTCATACGGTTATATCTCACTCTTCTCTGGTAACTTAAGCCGCTGATAAACAACTGTATTTTAGTCCCAGATCTACACATCACACAGTACGTAAAATTAATACGGATCTTGAAGAAATTTTGAGATACTCTAAAAAGTTAAATCCTGATAAACGTAATCTCAAGCTGTCTTGTTCTGTCTCCATCAAACTATATACCCTTCCTTGAAGGTACAGATTGATGAATTAGTCTTTAAGGAATAAGATGTAATGTACATTTGAATTCCAATAAATACCTTTTATCATTATTATCTATTTCCGTAGTTTTTTAAATGCAATTGCTTGTTTAGTTTTTCACTCATTCTCCTGTTTTTAATTCCACATGGGTACATAATAATAAATAAATATACGCATGTATGCAATTGTTGTTTAAGCATGGGCTTAAGTAAAATTATACTAAGCATAGTAGGTATTAGAAATGATCATTAGTTTAAT